CAGTGGCAAGGTGGCTAACATCTGCACATGTGTTTAATTGCGGTTTTATGATATCCAGCCTGTGTGCCTAATTTGTAGATTAACAGCTGTGTTTCATTACAGCCCCATATACACTTTATCTTGCAGAGTTTCTAGCTAGGCAGCCAGGTGTCTGCAAATACTGTACCAGTGCGTGAGGGCGGCATCTGTTCTCAGGAGTCCTGACAAGGAAATCATGCATGTTCATCAATCATTATTGTGCCTAGTACAGTCAGCACATTTGTTCTGGGACTTTATTTTCAGTATCATGCAAAAATTGCTTACAATCAAACCACTCATGCAATGCCATGTATTTTCTTACGCAAAAAATGAAGGGTTACAACATTTGGCAAAACATATTCTAAGGTTCTTGTTATGTAGAAACAAGAGCTGTTATTGGAAAAAAAGTTAAAACAATTGATTTGCTGACGTCATCACGCCGCACGACAAACCGCAAACTTTATGCTGTTTTATCTTGTTCCATTTTGATTACCCTCTTGATTTAATAAATCTAACTGTTTTTACAATATTATACTATCCATTCTGCTTTGTCCCCTTATGTCTCCTGCTGCCTTTATATACTGCTGAGGTGATTGCGATCTGTGCTGGCCAGTTCCATTCTTATGATCGTCTTCAGTACACATATGTGCTTATGACTTCACCTGATAGGAGGTCATGTATTTCTGGTAAGAGACTTTCAGTCCTCAGTGGTGGTGCATTGGAGTTGGCACTTTTGAAGATTTGTTGGGTACACTTTTTTCACATGATTTCAAAGGCACATTACTGTTTTTTTTAGGTGGACATGTTTAACATGTAAAGGGGAAGCTCAACACTAATTTGTTTCCATTTAGGAGTTGGGATTCAGGGCCCATTCACACAAGGAACTGCATGTGAATTTCACAGGAATGCTGTGAGGTTCCTGTGCGAATAACATGCAGTTCTGTGCAGTGAGATTGCAGTCTATTCATTTTGAATGGGCTGAAATCGCACTGCACCAAAAACACACAGCAACCAGATCGCATGGTACTTTTTTACATGCAATCCGATGTGGGCCGGTGAGAGCAAATGCATTGCATTTACGACCTGTGTTTGAGGAGTTGTTAATTTTGCACTGATACCTGCAACGGATTACGAGGGCAGTGCGACTGGAACGCTGTACGAACAGAATGCAATGTGTGAAGCTGCATGGCAACACGGCTTTACCGTACTACATTCTAGTGTGAAAGGGCCCTTAAAGTGGAACTTCATTAATAACAACTTGAAAAAAAATATAACGTTTTTAACAAGGAACATAAGCACATTCCGCTTTAATAATCATGCTACCAAAATTAGTGTGTGATGTAAGTTGCCTGTTTCTTCATGCTGGAGGTTGCCATTTTGCTGAAGCCCAGAGCCCCTGAGTGGCAGTAAATCTTGAGGCAACAGATCGGCCTCTAGTGCCTGTAATTTTAGGCACAGTGCCTAAAAATAGAGAGCAGCTGAGCATGTGCAGAGCAGGGTGAGACAGTATATTACTGGATTTTAACCATTTGGCAACCGTGCTATAGGTGAATGATGTCTTCAGCGCGGTTGTCCAATTCTGGGAGTGCTGTATATGATGTCCTCCCGGAATGTGCCCTCCTGCACGCCCCAACACGCCACGCACCAGGCGATCTCCATAATTGCTGTGTCCTACGGAGATAGCTGATCACGTGATGTGGTAAAAGGTCAATCACGGCAGCCGATCCGACACAGCAGATCACTGGATAAATACAGTTGGTGGTTATCGGCTGCACTTTCCTCACGTTGTCACAGTGTGAGGAAAGTACTGCCAATAACCAGAAGCTGTCAGAAAACAGATCGGCACCGATGATCAGTGCCCTGATGATCACTGCCCAGCAGTGCCGCCCACCAGTGCCACCCACCAGGGCCCAGCAGTGCCACCCTTCAGTGTCCAGCAGTGCCACCCACCTGTTCCCATCAGTGCCCAGCAGTGCCACCCACTAGTGCCCAACAGTGCCACCCACTAGTGCCCAGCAGTGCTGCCACTCAGTGCCCCCAGCAGTGCTGGTCAGCGGTGCCACCCAGCAGTGCCACCAGTCAGTGCCGTCAGCCAATGACACCCATCAGTGCCACCTATAAGTGCCACCTATCAGTGCCCATCAGTGCTGCCTATCAGTGCACCCTTATCAATGCACATCAGTGAAGGAGAAAAAAATTACCGGTTTGCAAAATTTTCTAATAGAAACAAAGAAAAACTTTTTTTTTTTTTAAATTTTTGCTGTTTTTTTTTGTTTATAGTGCAAAAAATAAAAAACACTCAGTGGCGATTAAATACCACCAAAAGAAAGCTCTATTTGTGTGAAAAAAAGATAAACATTTCAAATGGGTACAATATTGCATGACCGTGCAATTGTCAGTGCTGAAAGCCGAAAATTGGCCTGGGAAGGAAGGGGGTATAAGTGCCCAGTGGGCAAGTGGTTAAACAGTATAGGCATTTATTTTTAATGTTTTAAAAAGCTATACCTGCAAAGGTGGCAAGCCTGAAGTGATCGAGCAGGACTTAATTTTCAGACTAAAGTTACTGTAACTTTAAACACATGCTGTCATGATTGTTGAGACTGTTCCCCTTGATATTAAAATGTACACTGATACTAATTGTGAAGCAGTGACTTAGTGTTTTCAGCTTTCAATGGGGCGTGCTGTTACTTGCAGGATCTCCAGGTGATAAACTGTGCAAAATTGTCACTAAATATAAGTTTCTTACGAAAACTGTATACAGTGGGACAAAATGCCAAAAATGCATAAACTTAGTATATACAAAGCTTAAGGGTTGTCATTTCCAACTTTCAGGAAAGTGTAAAAAAACATATTTTTGCATGCGTGTTCCCCGCGTCTGGTGTCAGAATTCTGGCCATTAGAATGCATTAAGGTGCGCTAATGCGTGTTTATGTGCTGTAATGCACTTTTTTTTCACTTTTGAGCATTTTTCATCCATTTCTGAATGTACAAGTAATGTTTTTTTTTCTGCCTGTACACTCCTGTGCCACTAAACTCCTGAAAAATGCCTATAGTGTGCATGGACACATAGGCTAACATGGAGGAGAGTTAATGGGCAAAGAAAAATAAAAGCACAAAACAACCCAAACAGCTGTAGCAGCCACTTCTTTGAGCTGCAGTGTGCATGAGGCCTTAAAGTCAGTCAGCAAGGTAATTGTTTTTTCACTGCTGAAAAAGTCCAGGATCCTGTAAGCTATATTTAAAGTGTAGCAAACACATAAGAAAATAGAAATAGTATAATATGGTTAATAGTTTATGTTCGGAGAGTAAAACAACACCAAGAAAAGTCAAAGTCAATGAAAAGCAGCAGAGCGATTCTGTGACATTGTGAACTCTTTAGAAACGTGTCCGTTAGGAAAACGAAATTTAACTGGGTTTACTATAATGCAATTAATTTAAAATTTAACTGGGATTCAAGACTGGCTGTGGACAGAAATTTTATTCAATGGTATTTGATTCTGAGAAGTTGAAAACACATGACTACTGCTAATTCCTAATTAAGCTGGAAATAACAATATGCCCCAAGTGGCACAGAACACTCACTCCAATCTGTTAAAATACAATGCAGTGTTCCAGATTAAAGCAATGAATGGAGAAATAGTCATATGGGGGGATTTTTAAAAGGATTCCAGTTCTGTTAGAGAGTATATCATTATTACTTGCCAATTTAATTTTTTTCTTATATGTCTGGATATATTTGTGGTCCTTTTTTTTCTATTTTTACAGACTAACTGTATTTATATTAATTCAATTTTTATTTTGTTTGTTATTCCCTACCGATTCAGTGTCTCTAATTTTCAATGTTTCATTATCTGTCTCCACCTGCGTGCCCTGTTAGCTGTATCCCTTTATGTTGTCAGTATCCTTACCTTTTGAATAGTCTTGATCTGACCATAAAAATTTGCAGTCAGGTATGTTACCTGTTCCATTGCTGCCCTCTTTCTCCCCATTCACACCTGCACATTTTGCCACGTGATTTCCAATGCTCAGAATGAAGAATGCATTCCGTTCATTTTTTTTAGCATGCTATGGGGTTTTCACAATGATATAATTGATTGTGAGGATATCAGCATTGCTACCTATTGTAATAAGCATCTTGCAAAAATGTTGCAGTCAAATGTTCTGTTTGGATAATGTGATAGTCTAGGGGAGTTCACCCAAGTGTAGTGGTTTTCTAGTGATTTCACTCCCGTCAGAAAATATTGTTTAGGGTTTGTTGGCTCATTTTTATTTAAAAGAGGAATGTTGAAAAAAACCCTCGTAGGGGTTTGCACCATCACTTCAAACACAAACACTTGGTCCTTAGTCTGGTCCCACAGACCATCTAAATCTTCTAGTGCATCTAACACTACCCTCAACCCACACTGCCAATGCTGCTATCCAAAGGTGTCTCCATTGCTCCTCCACCCTACAACCAAGAAAATCAACTATTATACTCAGGGCTATCCACAGAAATGTTTCTATGTTCTAGCAAATTACATAATTCTATCAAGTTTTACCTTTAGTAATTATTTTAACCACATTTAAATTATTCATGTTTTTAATTATTTTAACCACAAGCCTACAGAGCACTTATACCCCCTTCCTGCCCAGGCCAATTTCCAGCTTTCAGCGCTGTCACACTTTGAATGACAATTGCACGGTTATGTAACACTGTACCCATATGACATTTTTTTGTGACAGATAGAGCTTTATTTGGTGGTATTTAATCAACTCTGGTTTTTTTATTTTTTCTTGAACAAACCAAAAACTACTGAAAATTTTGAAAAAAAAGTTTTTTCTTAGTTTTTGTTATAAAATTTTGTAAATAAGTGATTTTTCTCCTTCACTGATGTGCGCTAATGAGGCTGTAGTGATGGACACTGATAGGTGGCACTGATGGGCACTGATGAGGAGGCACTGGTAGGTGGCACTGATGGGCATTGACAGGCATCACTGATGGGCACTGATAGGCGGCACTGATAGGCGGCAATGACTGGCACTGATAGGCGGCACTGACTGGCACTGTTAGGCGGCACTGATAGGCACTGATAGGTGGCACTGATATGCGGCACTAACTGGCACTGATAGGTGGCACTGATTGGCAGTACTGATAGGTGGCACTGATTGGCATTGATAGATGGCACTGACTGGCACTGATGGGTGACACTGAAAGGCAGATCAGATGGGCACTGATATGTGGCATTGATGTGCACTGGTAGGCACTGATATGTGTCATTGATGTGGCACTGATGGGCACTGGCAGGTGGCATGGATGAGCACTGACACGTGGCACTGCTGGGGCTACACTGATCATTAGGGCACACTTATCATCAGTGCCCTGATGATCAGTGTACATGTCCCCTCCGCGAATAGTCCATTACCGGCTCTCCTCTCGAGCTGTTAGCGTGACAGCTCGAGAGTAGAGAAATGAAGATAACCGGCATTTCCCTGTTTGCATGTGATCAGCTGTGATTGGACACAGCTGATCACATGACCGAGCCGACATCTTCGGCTCTTTCCGTGATCGGTGATCCGCTGTGTCTGAGGGACACAGCACACCGCCGATCGCCGTGCTGCTGCGCGCTCCCTGAGCCGTGCATGCGTGGTGAGAATGGGAGGACATCATATGACGTCCTCCCAGAACGAGAGAACCACCTTGCGTCCGTCATTTTACTATATGGCGGGCGGGAGGTGGTTAAATGCATACTGGAAAGATAAAAACACAACTTTAAGAGAGCAAATTTTCAAGGATGATTGCTGTTCGCCAAGACTTAGATTGGGAGGGAAAATTGGCATAGATTAACACAGAGCAGAAATGACAATTATTCCAAGAGCTTTTAAAAATAAAAAATGAGTGATCACTATCATCATTTAAGTGTTACAAAAAATATAACAAAATATGTAAAAAGCAAATCAAGGACGCAAAAATTCAAAACGAACGACAATTGCGAAGGAAAGTAGAACAAAACACCCCCCCCCCCCCCCCCAAATTTTTCAAATACTGTATATTAATAGTAAAAAAGTCAGGTCTGACCGTGAAAGCCCTTTACAAAATAATCTAGAGTGGGTGACTGGGGACAAAGAGAAGGCAAATTTATAGAATACCTTCTTCAGCACTGTGTATAAAAACGAGCATGGGTGAGCTCTTGTCCATAATGGGGATATTGACACTGCTCCAAATGATCCACAATGGCTCCAAATTGATACGGTCCAGAAATATTTAGACAGAATAAACGTGACTGAAGCATCTGGACCAGATGGCATACACAAACGAGTCCTAAAAGAATTGACCTGTTAGTTTAACTTCAATAGTTGGGAAGTTTAATAAAAGACCACATAGATGAGTTCTTGCTGGAAAAAAATATTTTAAGTAACAGACAGCATGGATTCATGAAAGGCAGACGTTGTCAAACAAATCTGATTTTTTTTTATGAGGAGGTAAGCAAAAACTTAGACAAAGGAGTGGCTGTGAAGGTAGTATACTTGAAATTTGCAAAAGCGTTTGACACAGTTCCCCACACATGGCTAATGTGTAAGGTAAAGTCTACAGGCTTAGAAAAATCTGTATGTAAATGGAAAGAAAACTGGCTAAAAGATTGTATTCAGAAAGTAGTGGTTAATTATTCATACTCTGAATGGTCTAGGGTTGTTAGTAGTGTACCCCAAGGTTTAGTGTTGAGACCCTTACTTTTTAATATACTTATAAATGATATAGGGTCTGAGATTAAAAGTACTATTTCAGTGTTTGCAGATGACACCAAGCTGTGCAGTGGAATAACATCCTTACAGGTCTCCAACATACAAGCCAACCTCAATGCACTGTTTAATTGGGCAACTATGTGGCAAGTGAGGTTTAATGTTGATAAATGTAAGGTTACGCACTTGGGGGCAAAGAATATGCATGCATCAGACATACTAGGATGTAGTATCATACATACTAGGGAGGTACAACTGGGGGAATCAATGGTGGAGAAGGATCTGGGGGTTCTGGTAGATCATAAGCTTAATACTGGCATGCAAAAATGCATTCCACAGTGAGCAAAATGTATTAAGAGAAGTATAGACTCCAAGGAGAGAGAGAGAGAGATCATTTTACCCCTGTACAAATCATTAGTAACACCTCATCTGGAATATGCAGTTCAGTTTTGGGCACCAATTCACAAAAAGGATATCAGGGAACTGGAGAAAGTGCATTGAAGGGCAACGAAACTGATAAGAGGCATGGAGGAGCTCAGCTATGAGGAAAGATTAGAGAAACTGAATGCAATCTTTCTTGAGAAGAAGAGATTACTGGATATGATCAACATGTAGAAATATATAGGTGGTCCGTATAGTGAACTCGGTGTAGAGTTATTCACTTTAACCACCTTAATACTGGCCACTTTTACCCCCCTTCCTGCCCAGACCAATTTTCAGCTTTCAGTGTTCTCACACTTTGAATGCTAATTGCTCAGCCACGCAACGTTGTACCCAAATGAAAATGTTGTCTTTTTTTCATACAAAAGAACTTTCTTTTGGTGGTATTTAATCAGCACTGGGTTTTTTATTTTCTATGCTATAAATGAAAAAAGCCCGAAAATTTTGAAAAAAAACCCCACATTTTCTTTGTCTGTTATAAAATTTTGCAAATAAGTAATTTCTCTTCATAAATTTTGGCCAAAATGTATACTGATACATTGCTTTGGTAAAAATAACCCAAATCTGTGTATATTATTTGGTCTGTGTGAAAGTTATCGAGTCTACAAGCTATGAAACCAGTCATTAAATATAGATCACACCTGATCACACTTGATGTACTGACATCTCATTTTTTGAGACCCTTTTGAGACAACTTTTGGAAAGCGTACATTTCAAGGTATTTAGTACGGTAAGGCATGGTGAGTTTTTTGAAGCTGTATTTGTTTCTAGAGATGAGCGAATCGAAGTAGGTGAAGTGGAAGTCGTTTCGAATATTAGGAAAATTTCGATTAGCGTCGAATCCCAAAAATAAGCAGACTTCGGATGCGCGAATCAAAATTTTCCTAAAATGGCGGCGACATGTGCGGCGACGGAGCGGGGATGTCTGGGAAGGCGCGCAGACAAGGCGCGCTGACCCATAATGCATTCATTCATGACATGTGATCGCATTAGCCAATCAGCAGCCAGCCAGCCAGCACAGTGTAATGGTCGAGCTATAAATGGCGGCCATTTTAGAATTCTCCATTTGCCTCCAGTCATTCAACAGAGGCAGACCTGGCTGTATTCAGGGAGAGAGTTAGGGACAGAGAAACGTTACTTAGGGACACAGAAACGTTAGTTAGGGCCACAGAATCGTTACTTAGGGCCATAGAAACGTTACATAGGGCCACAGAAACGTTACTTAGGGCCACAGAATCGTTAGTTAGGGCCACAGAAACGTTACTTAGGGACACAGAATTGTTACTCAGGGACAGACAGAATTGTTACTGAGGGATACAGAATTGTTACTGAGGGCCACAGAATCGTTACTTAGGGCCACAGAAACGTTACTTAGGGCCACAGAATTGTTACTTAGGGACAGACACAGAATTGTTACTGAGGGACACAGATTTGTTACTGAGGGCCACAGAATCGTTACTTAGGGCCACAGAATTGTTACTTAGGGACAGACACAGAATTGTTACTGAGGGACACAGATTTGTTACTGAGGGCCACAGAATCGTTACTTAGGGCCACAGAAACGTTACTTAGGGCCACAGAATTGTTACTTAGGGACAGACACAGAATTGTTATTGAGGGACACAGAATTGTTACTGAGGGCCACAGAACCGTTACTTAGGGCCACAGAAACGTTACTTAGGGCCACAGAATTGTTACTTAGGGACAGACACAGAATTGTTACTGAGGGACACAGATTTGTTACTGAGGGCCACAGAATCGTTACTTAGGGCCACAGAATTGTTACTTAGGGACAGACACAGAATTGTTACTGAGGGACACAGATTTGTTACTGAGGGCCACAGAATCGTTACTTAGGGCCACAGAAAAACGTTACTTAGGGCCACAGAATTGTTACTTAGGGCCACAGAATTGTTACTTAGGGACAGACACAGAATTGTTACTGAGGGACACACAGAATTGTTACTGAGGGCCACAGAACGTTACTTAGGGCCACAGAAACGTTACTTAGGGCCACAGAATTGTTACTTAGGGACAGACACAGAATTGTTACTGAGGGACACAGATTGTTACTGAGGGCCACAGAAACGTTACTTAGGGCCACAGAAACGTTACTTAGGGCCACAGAACGTTACTTAGGGCCACAGAAAACGTTACTTAGGGACACAGAATTGTTACTCAGGGACAGACACAGAATTGTTACTGAGGGCCACAGAATTGTTACTAGGGCCACAGAATCGTTACTTAGGGCCACAGAAACGTTACTTAGGGCCACAGAAACGTTACTTAGGGCCACAGAATTGTTACTTAGGGGGACACACAGAATTGTTACTGAGGGACACAGAATTGTTACTGAGGGCCACAGAAATTGTTACTTAGGGCCACAGAAACGTTACTTAGGGCCACAGAATTGTTACTTAGGGGACACAGAATTGTTACTGAGGGACACAGAATTGTTACTGAGGGCCACAGAATTGTTACTTAGGGCCACAGAAACGTTACTTAGGGCCACAGAATCGTTACTTAGGGCCACAGAAACGTTACTTAGGGCCACAGAAACGTTACTTAGGGCCACAGAATTGTTACTTAGGACAGACACAGAATTGTTACTGAGGGACACAGAATTGTTACTGAGGGCCACAGAAACGTTACTTAGGGCCACAGAAACGTTACTTAGGGGACACAGAATTGTTACTCAGGGACAGACACAGAATTGTTACTGAGGGCCACAGAAAGTTATTGAGGGCCACAGAAACTGAGGGCCACAGAAACGTTACTTAGGGCCACAGAAACGTTACTTAGGGCCACAGAATTGTTACTTAGGGGACAGACACAGAATTGTTACTGAGGGACACAGAATTGTTTACTGAGGGCCACAGAACCGTTACTTAGGGCCACAGAATTGTTACTTAGGGCCACAGAATTGTTTACTAGGGACCACAGAATTGTTACTAGGGACACAGAAACGTTACTTACTGAGGGCCACAGAATTGTTACTTAGGGCCACAGAATTGTTACTTAGGGGACACAGAATTGTTACTTAGGGGACACAGAATTGTTACTGAGGGACACAGATTGTTACTAGGGAGGGCCACAGAAACGTTACTTAGGGACACAGAATTGTTACTTAGGGACACAGAATTGTTACTGAGGGACACAGAATTGTTACTG